CAGGCGGTATTTCTAGCTTCCCGTTCACTCGTGCCCGCGAATACCGCCTGCTACGCAGGCAAGCGGATAACTAGAAAATACATGCATGCAGAAACGGGTGTAGATAAAAGGCGGACGACGGACGGCGGACGACGGAGTATTCTGTGAAATGAATATGTTTTCACCCGTTCGAATTTTTGGCAGTGGAATTTTTTAATCAGCATTCAAATGATTCAATAAGTACGTATGATAGGCTATACGCCGTCTTTCTCGGGAAACGTTTGGAAATATTGTAAAAAAGCGCCTTAGTTTTGGAGCTTCTGTTAGGCAGAATTAAATTACATTCACTTGCTGACATTTTCGTACTTTAAATAGCGCTGACTTGTTGTTTTATAATGAAAATAATCCCCGTTTTAATTATAAACCTAAGAGGTTCACACGTAGAAATGGCCGATTTGCAAGCGACGACTATTCTATATATGGATTTTAGAAATATTATGTATTAGGGGCGGACCATTTGATGGGGTGGATTTTCATTCAGCCCAATAATTTTTAAACCTCCTAGTCCTGCTCGATATTTTTCTATCATTGAACGATTTTTTATTTCGTAGGCACATATAGGTAGTAGGTATTGAGTATAGGCAATGGATCGTGATTTAAGGATCGTGATTATTTTTTATAACGCGTTTGGACGTTCACAATTTTATATATTTATAATTGTATATATATTTGTCATTTCTTTAACTATATTATGTTATTGATATTTTCCTGACATAGTTATGCAAATATATTATAACATCTACTATTTTTGTAAATGTCACACAGTAATCAGTGTAAGAAGCTGTTTGAGAAATGTATATCAACTTGGGCAATGTAAGTTGGGCAGCGTAAATATTGGGTATTCTATTATATGTATTTGAAGGGCTTAGGGAATGTTATAATTTCGAGTTCTACATTTACTATACAGTGGAATAGTAATGTGTAAGCACTCAAATGAATGGACATTGACTATAGCCTTTTAGTAAGTAAAATGGGGATTATTTTCATTATAAAAAAACAAGTCAGCACAATTTAAAGTATGAAAATGACAGCAAGTGAATGCATGTCATGTAATAGCCCCACCTCATAATATTTTAATTCAATGGCAGTGTTAGGGCATGCAGTTATTTACAGAAGAACCAAAACTAAGGCGCTTTTTTACAATATTTCCAAACGTTTCACGCGAAAGTCGGCGAATAGCCTCCTATCATACATACGTATTGAATGCTGATTAAAAAATTCCATTGCTAAAAATTCGAACGGGTGAAAACATATTCATTTCACAGATCTAAGGCTGGTATACTTTAATTTAGGATCTTATAATTACTTGCGGTAGTAATCATGCGTTTATAAAATGCTCCACCGTTCATCGTCCACCGTCCGCGGTACGTTTTTATCCGTACGCCTTTTATCTACACCCTGCAGAAACCCTCGCCTTGCGGACAAAACCATTGTATTTTCCGAACATGAAGTAATTAAAGTAGTTGTCATGGTAACACGATAATTTCATTAAGAATATTTTCACAATTGAAAAATCCCCTAAAACTATCAGTTTAATTACAAAATGATCAATTTCCCAAACATAATTTCCAGAATGCTGGAATTGCGGAACGCGTTAAATATTAAGGAACATTCCGAAAAATTGAGGTCGAAAAAGGTCAAGGTTTAAAATGTTCTTTATAAAATATTGCACACGATTAATCTAATTATAATACCCCAAATTAAAGTATAACTAATCATATAATACCTTATATTAAAGTATACCAGCCTTGGATCTGTGAAATGAATATGTTTTCACCCGTTCGAATTTTTAGCAATGGAATTTTTTAATTCGAACGAACGGAAATTAATGGGGGTGTACCCCAGGGCAGCAAATTAGGTGCAATATTAATCGCTTTCATTATAAAAATCAATCAACTCCCATCAGTTACAAATTGGGAATCGGCCAATCGGCCGAAACAACCAATCAAAATTATACGGATGAGGGAGAAACAACAATGTTTACGGACGACACGACCTCATCCGAAGTGATGGAAGTATCGGATCACACCTCCGGCATATCGATTGGTGAAAAACTCAAGAAAATGTCAACAATGTAGCAGGGCCTTTTTTAAGGATTTTCCCGTGGGGGGGCATTTTTTGAAAAGGGACTTTTCTGTGAGATAATATATTAGAGGGGGATAGTAATGGCTGAAGACTACGTGTGTGGCCAATATACCACGCATGAATGGCGGGTGGTCTGGGGGAGTACTCCCCCAGAAAAGTTTTGAAATTTGAATCCCGGAAATGCATGTCATTTCCTGCATTCTGAGCATCCAAATTTGCTCCAAAATTTATGCTAACTATACTTGTATTTGAAATACATAAAGGAAAAAACGCACAAAAAGTAAAAAAAAATTAACCATCATTTATCGTTACTTATTAAAGGAGGATAGCAATGGTCAGGTGTGTAGAGGTGTACTCCCCCAGAAAAGTTTTGAAATTTGAAGCACGGAAATGCCATTTCCTGCATTCTGAGCATCCAAATTTGCTCTAAAATGTATGCTAATTATACTTGTATTTGAAATAAAAGATGGAAAAAATGCACAAAAAGTAAAAAAGAATATTAACTGTAATTTATCATTACTTATTAGAGGGATAATCCCCAGAAAATTTTTGAAATTTGAAACCCGGAAATGCTATTTCCTGCATTCTGAGCATCCAAAAAATAAAAAATTATTAACAATAATTTATCATTAATAAGTTCTTTGTATGTTTGCATGGTGATAAAATATAATAGTTTTGTTTGTGGAAACACCACGTAAATTTATTACTGCAAATAGAGCGCGTGAATTAAACAAGTCACATGTTATTAGCACTGATGAAGATCCGGGCTTACGGATCGAAAACTTTGCAGTAATAAATTTACGTGGTGTTCCACAAGCAAAACTATTATAATTTATCATTACTTAGTGGTAGAAAAAAGTAACAATTAAATCGATTTTGTTAAACAAGGACAAAGAATAAAGCCTAAAACTTACTTTCCGTTTATGTATTTGTTAATCCTCGCTGGTTTGTTTCTATAATTTTAGGGAAAAGGGACTTTTCCTGGGGGGGGGGACAAAATGTGATTTCGTGGGGGGACTGGGGGACATTTCTCCCCCCCCAGCTTGTATGTTAAAAATGGCCCTGCAATGTAGTTCTGTTTGCAAAGCACGAAAAAATGGAACTAAATGTGAAGAAATGCAAAGAAATGATTGTCGATTTCAGGAAGAATAAAACAACCATCCCACCAATTAATATTGACGACCAACCTATTGCTCGGGTATAAAGTCATATAAATTACTAGGAATGTCACTGGATGATGATATGAAGTGGACCACAAATACTGAATTTATTATTAAAAAAGCAGCTAAACGGCTCCACTTTTTAAAGATCCTTAAGAATTATGGCGCGTGTAAAGATGATCTAAGCGACGGACCATTTGATTTTTCATGGGGGGGGGGCGCATTTTTGAGAGTGCTCGATTTTTTTGGACCTCACCGACTCTGCACGATTATTTTTTATTGAATCTTGCACGTGCACGATATTTTTTTTTCAATTTTTAATATGGCGTTTCAGTATTTTTATAAAACGATCATTCACGTATGGTTATATTCCGGATGAAGAATGTATTTGAATATACAGCATATATTAACTATTATTGAATCTCAATAAATCATTGGTCAACGAAACGTAGACCATAGCCCCGATCAAAATTGGATCACGTGTAACCCATTTACTGGCAGGCAGTAGTCTACCACTGACGAGTAAAAATCGGCTGGCATCAGACAGAGGAAATACCAAAGTAGGGCGCATTTTGGCGCAGTGCTAGTTAATGAGTCAACAGCGCTCTGAAACTTATATTTAAAATGTGATAAATCTAGAATTTTTCAAGTGGAGCACAAAAAACGTAGACATGCACTCACCACTACATCAACCTTTCACATACATTACAAGCAGCTTGAAGGGACATATCCAGACGGGGTTGCTTTATCCCCTTTCTGTAAACCAGAGCCCAGCGAGGAACGTTCCTAAATACCATCGTAGTGATACCAGTGATCATATCTCTTCACTGCGCCCCGATAATGCTGTCCATTGAAGGACGTAAACCCATCAAGAGGTATCTTTTAATATAAATTTCAAATGTAAAAATCTCTCATTAAAATCATTATTGAGTCCATGGAAAACATTTGCCAGTATAAATTAATATATTAAATCAATGCTAACAGTAACTGCTACCTACCTTTCATTATACAGTGATATAGTATCGGGAATTGCATTCGATTTAAAGTAGTTCACCCTTTTGCAAGCGACTAAATTTTATTATATATACTTCTGTATGATAAAATCTTACATGATTTGACCAGTTGTTGGATGAATGGAGTTTGTCATCTGAAGAGAGCACGGTGCATCAGGGATATGGCATCGCAGGGTAAGGTTGCACTGGAACTGCGTGGCATCAGTGGCAACCCAATCATCTAGAGCAGACTGTAACAGTCCAGGTGGTGAAATACCGACATCGCTGAAACGAAAATACACCACAAAATTTTAACAGTAGTTCTTCAAATTACTAAAAAATCAGGTTCAATTTCATGTAAAAGGCATGGATAGAATTTTATACCTTAGGGAAATAGAATGTGAAACAAACGTCTTCGTAGGGGAGGGACAAGCTTGAGAACTGCAGAAACTGTACGTTGTAACTTGTTTTACTTGGACCAATGCAAGATATGGGGAGCTCCTCCTTGTTTCCCCAAAGATCTAAAACTGGACGAGTCATGTCAAACCTTCCAGGGAACAAGCTTGTTATCCAGGTTAGCTTTCCTTCAGAATACATTCGTTTATCGAAGAAGTCCTTGATCTTTACAAGCTGCACCGCATACAACTCAACGGAAGATTGTAAATGACGATAAAAAGCACCGTGTTCAGTCATGATAACATAAAATATTGTTAAATAGTTGTCAATGGGGCAGGTATTTATTGGCGTCTTTACGGCCGTATTTGTACTGAAGACTGCACCTCCCCATGGAGGAACATTTAATTGGGATGCAGGGCATGTGGAAGAAACTTGCGAGCATACTTGTGGTATCAAAGAGATGTTGATCACTGTAGCGGGCGCCGAGAGTTTGACTGCAGAATCGGTACACTTGATGAAGGCACAGGAGGGCTTGGCCTTGGAATACCTCGAATACTACAAACTGATAACGGTCCACCATTCAATTGTGAACAATTCCAAACCTAAACCTTTGCTGAAGAAATGGGATTTCACCACAAGCGAGTAACACCAATACATCCGAAGGCGCAGGACCAAGTGGAAAATTTCAATAAGCTGATCAACAAAACAACAAAGATTGCCTGTGAAGAAGGAATCGAAATCGAGAGTGCAATATATGATATGTTACAAGCATACAGACAGACACCCCATCCTGCAACAAAGTCAACGCCGTACCCTCTTTTTATGCACCGTCAAGTTCGAACACGATTGGAACATTTTCCCACCGAAGTTCACATCACTCAAGATGAGGTCAAGAAGAACGACAAAACCTACAAGCAGAACAACGCAATACCACGATAAACGTCACAGAGTGAAAACACATACATCCAAGTGCGGTGATGCCGTTTTGATAAAGAGAGAGAAGAAAAGAAAGAAGCATACACCGTACGAGCCGTACATATACGTTGTGACAAGCATAAAAGGATCAACCATCCGTGCGAGACGTGTAATGGATGGAAAAGTTAAGTGCAGAGATGCATCGAAGGTTAAACCACTTAGAACAGCTCAATTGTCAAAAGCCAACGATGAAACGGCGAGTGTAAAAGTACCAAGCAGCTATCAAGCCACAACATCCAGGACGACATTTCAGGACACAGACAGCAGCAACATCCGGGACACAACAAGTGAGACTATAGCCACCACAAGTGAGACAACAACCACAACAAGTGAGAACAATTTATGATGATTAGTGTTAGGACTAGATGATCAGTGTTAGGACTCTAAAAAAAAGACAACTAGATTATAAATTACAGTGACTATCGGAAAAAAGGAGGAATGTAACAACCAATCACAAACCTTACCGGAACTAATGTACAATTAATTATGCATGACATTAGCATGATATTAGCATGAGCATGTTTGTGTAAACTTGAGTATATTCGTAGTATAGAATAAAACGTTAAGCGAAGAGCTGTCTTCCTTGAAGAACTATTATTATTATTATTATTATTATTATTATTATTATTATTATTATTATTATTATTATTATTATTATTATTATTATTATTATTATTATTATTATTAATAAGTATAATAATAATAGTTCTTCAACGAAGACAGCTCTTCCGTGAAGAACTATTATACTAGTATTTAAGTTACTACAAACTGATGGCTTGACAGTAGAAACTGAGGGCTTGACGGAATGAACTAATGATGGCTTGACAGTTGGAACCGAGGGCTTGACATTACGAACTGAGGGCTTAACAGGAAATTTAGTAGGCTTGGTATAAGAAGCAGATGTGCTATAATAATGCTTCGTGATATCTGCTATTTTGTCTGACTTTGTGTAGCCCTTTCGTTCACATTGGGTCTTGGACAGCCCCATCTTTTCAATCATGTACAAATGCAATTGTGACACGTACAATTTTCCCAAGGATTTTGAATAAATAGAACTTTCCCAGTCGATATCATTGTATGCTTTTGCTTTTTCGATTGTCCTGGCTTTTGCTGCCGACTGTCTGGAAATCGTCGCTTTCACCTTCATGTCATAACGTCTCTTTAATTCGGACTCAGTCACATTTCTGAGGCTTTCGCCGACGAATTGTTCAACGAAACTATCCGTCTCATCTTGATACTGTCATTTCTGAGTGTCATTTCGGTCAACAACAGTGACAAAAATGCTGTCATCCTCCTGCGTTTTCTCGCATAAATCAAGGATAGGCTCTCCACAGCGGTCCTGTAAGTTTTCAAGCTGCTTTCGTGGGCAAAAGTCATCTTTATTCCTCAGGCATGCATCTCTTACTTTCTCTTTCTCAAGACCAAATTTTTCAGTGATGTCACCTTTTAACACTTGATTTAGAGTGCAGTAATGAAAGCTTTCTTGACCGTAATCTGGAACAGGTGGCGGCAACCGCTTGAGAGGTACACCTTTCCAACCACAACGACTACTGTTCTCAGTCTGTTTATGAAAATGACAAATATGTGCACTGTCTTTCTCGGAACAGCCACTGCGTATGCCCTCACATCCGTTATCATATAAATAATAGTGATCCTTATAGAAATCTTGTACATACGTAAAGTATGCACTACCGGCACAGGTTGCCAGCGATACAGGAGAACTAGCATTAAGGCATTTTGTCACAAATGCCTCGTCAAAGTAGAAAGACCGATGATCTTCTTGTGGCATGAATGCGTGGATTGAAGTACCCATGCATTTTTTCCCATCAATACGCTCTTTCACACGTTTCGCACATTCATTAGCCGCATCCATGTGTCTCTCCGATTTAAATTTGTTGAGCTCATCTTTGGTGAGGTCCAAAAGTCTTGTTTCCCCCTTCGAAGAGATGATCGTGTCTTTATCATGTGGTATAGGTATTGAACGCCCATCCCCCAAGCATTCGTTCAGTGAGCGCATGACTCGTTCTGCAACGTGGGTGGAAGAATCCCCTGCAACAAATGAATATTTTGGGGGCGTTAAAAAGAAAAAAGTTCAATGTTAACATGAAAATGGTTATGGGCACATTATTCATTTGCACATGGGCACATGCTCCATATATATATTTCAAAAACTCATTAATAATTCATGAAGCAATTATCCAATCTTGAGCAAGAAATTAGTCACGTGCATACGTCTTTATACCAGCTAAAGAACACTTTAACAAAAGACCATTGTTATGCAAACTATATAAAGATTTTTATATAAAGATTTTTATATAAAGATTTTTATATAAAGATTTTTTAAATTTTAAATTTGACTTATTATGCAAACGTTTTTGAAGCCATTTAAAAAACTCGCAGGTCGTGTTTTATTATTAAATAGGTCTAAAGCCACTCGCGCTGCGCGCTCGTGGCTTTAAACCTAATAAAACACTCCTGCTCGTTTTTTAAATAGTACATAAATAGTGTATACCATGTTTATATGTTTGACCTGGTTTGCCTTTTAATAGTTCATAAACATAAAAATCATGATTTACCGTACCAGACGCATAATGAAACCTGCACTGCATATCAAGACCATTAATCAAAAAGCTCTCCGCCATACGAAATTGTGTCATACGTTCATGACTTGACACGCCAGGGCCAGTGTCCGTAGTCTGGATGTCAATTGGCCTGTTGAGATGATGTATTAATATTTAATAATGCTATTAAACTGAGTGTATGACTTTTGAAGAATGTACATATTGTTTATTCGTGGCCACATGATGATCTACCAGGAGTACTAGCGAAAATGAAACAAGGTACAAGTACAGCATGAAAATGATAAAAGCCAAAATGATAAGGCAAAATATGAAGATTATTCGAGAAAAGTCAGCTATATAACAGTTGAAGAGGAAACATAATTAAATTTCGAAAGTAGGTCATTATAAACTAGAATTTGCATGAACATGTGTAACATACTTATGCTGTGGAAGTCCATAAAAGTTTTCCAAGAGAAGGCGGAGTTCTTTGCAGCTGGCAGTTATGATGTTATATCTTTCTATTATGTCTTCATGGCTAAATTTATTGGTTTCGTCGCTAAAAACTGTGACTATGAAAGACAATGCAGGCGATTAATACCTTTTTTATTATTTAGATACAAAATTTACTGGATTTTGATTGTATCAACATCAATAACGCAAAGTTTATTGAATAATGCACTGTAACCTATTTTGAGAACACATTGCACTTACGAATTTCTTTCGTAATCGAGTCTTGCAGTGTCACCATTCCCTCATTGATCTTTACATATTCATCGAGTGAGACATTACATGATTGGAAAGATTTGATGCAATCTTTTAGCCTTTGAAGCAAAATCTTGTGTCTTATTTTTTCCCTCGCAATATGATCACCACCATCGACTATTCTTGTGTAATCTTCAGGTATACACATCAGTTCATACTGAAATAGTGAGTCCCTCAGCCAAACAAAGTGTGCCAATAGAACCTCTGGGAGTTTTTCTATAAATGTGGTAGTTGTGGAACCTTCAATTTCATACTCGTCTCGAAACAAATATCGGATCGCTGCCATGTCATTCTGCCAGTTTGTAGCGCTGCTTGGATAATAATGTTTTGGCTTGCATGTTGCCGTGATCAAACTATCACTAACAGAGTAGTTATCGTTACCTTTATGATCAGCCACTTGTTTCATGGATTTAACAACCATTATCACGCCAGGGCTAACATAGCCAACAGTATCTGGGTAGTCCGAGGCTGGCATATCAAAATGTGAATCGGTTACCTGTACTGGACGATGAAGAGGCCGGGAAAATCCTTCGGAGGTACCACATCTGATGTATGCTTTGTCATCCATTGCCCTACGAACAACCAAATGACTATCGATATTGCCCCCATATGATAACCGAGTATAATTCTTAATGTGTACTCTATTATAGTGGACATTTATATGGTCATTCTTTAAGTTCTTCTGCGACCTAACAAAGGACCACAAGTTCCTACCGCGATGTTGTTTCGACTGATTACTGCGTTTATTCCTACATTTGCCCCATGAACGTACTGTCTCACAACTCTTGATTAACAGTTGTTTGTGGGTGGCCAGGTATTTGTTGGCAATACGTCTCATGTCTCGCTTATGAAGTCTTTTCTGGTGGCTTTCTAAGTACCCTGTACCTTCTTCTCCCCATCTCCTGCGATGTGCCTTTAGTTGTTCCTCTAGAACCTCGTACACTGCCTGTTCTGCTCCTCTATGAATACGAAATTTCCCTTTGTTCTTACCAGTTTGCCTCTTCAGAGAATTCTTCCAAGAGCAAAAGTGACGCTTTGCCTTTCGTTTCATCATCTGTTTTGGTTTCTGACGCAGTTTTGTTAAACGTTGCCGTTTTATTTCTAACTCGTATTCAAGATCATCCACTTCGTCCAAAGCTAAGCGCTTTCTTTTTCTTTCCAAAGAATGCTCGGATTGAATAATAGTCTTTTCAAGTTTGCAAATCTCTATCTCAACAGCTTTTTCTGATTTTTCCATGGAACATTCTTGAGCTATTTCAACTTGAGATAGAAAATCACATACTTGTTCCTTCATCGCATTGACTGTTACAGAAACATAGCCTAACATTTTATGAAGGTTACTGTTTGAATAAATGCTTGCGAGAACAAACTGCAAAACAGCTCTATCACGTGATGTGGACATCAGCTTCAATAAGGTTGGTACCTGCCCAGCTAGTGCCTCGGGGATGCATGATGGCTGAATGTCATCTTCTCGGCCCTGCAGAGCTTCGTCTAATGCTTGTAAGAATTTGAAATGTTCTAATGGTTTTTCTAGCAGGCACACAGATCTAAACATTAAAAGTCAATAAAAAAATACATCAACAGACAATACATAAAGCCATGTTTGTTTGTATATTTTAAAGTTTATCCATATCTCATATCATTCTCAAGTTTATCACAGTTTCTATATTTTGAGGTGTATATTTTAATATTTGATGATAATTTAAATAAAAAATTCAAAGAAACTTGGCACACTTGGTGGGTGCACCAAAGTGAATATTTTTGGCTGGTTTATTAAATATCACGGCAACACACACTAGTCCCCAGCCTCTTCCCTTCCTTTTCAGAAATTTCCTCCTGTAGACCATCTTCGTTCTCAGGGCTTCTTGGCTGCCTGCATTGCCATAAACCCTGGGATAAGCCGAAACCGGAACACCCAGTGTTTGCTCATCCATACTCGCATTCCATTTCAGCTTGTCGCAGGACAACAAAGGCAGCCAAGCCCTGGGAACGAGTATGTCTGTTGACCTTTTGTTGACGACGTTGGCATAGAAGAGACTAGAAAGGGGGCTGGGTCACAGAATACTACACAGAAATCAAACTCTATTGTTTTCTGCATAACGCGCGATTCGTCATTGATTCGTGCTTTATAGCAAGTGCTGTAAACAGAAGCAGTCACCCCCCTGAAATAGTGCCATTTTGTATATTTTCAGGGGGGTGACTGCTTCTGTTTACAGCGCTTGCTACAAAGCACGAATCAATGACGAATCGCGCTTTATACGCAGAAAACAATAGAGATAGATTTCTGTATAGCATTCTGTGGCTGGGTACAAGTGTGTTGCCACGACAACCATATAAACAACCCAAAATATTAAAGGGGAAAACTTTCATACCTCATTCCATAGTTCTGTATTATGATAACAGGGAGCCCTTTGTGTGACAGCAGAACCGTTTGAAACCTTTTTTTTGCACTTCTCAGATCCTTTGCACAATGTCCTGGTGGGATCTTTCCTATGTACTCATCAAACGCCTGGTCAAATGTTAAAAACTTATGCACTACAAGTTCATCCAACAGAGACGATAAAGCATCAAGTCTCGAAATAGATAACTTTGAAATAGATTGTTTAATGCTTGCCTGTAAGTTCTCGTGGCATTCTTCGGCTGTTTTGTTTTGCAGAGAAATTTGTATCGATTTAAGACTGCACCAAGATACATTCCTTTTTCGGCTGTCCATTGTTTTATGTATATTAATATTTAAAATCTAGCTACATCACTACATTAACATGCAAAAAGAAACCGTACCAACAGTCGTATCATGAGTTGACTGGCAATATGTTGTTCTGGCCACATTTGTTATTCTGGTCATATTCAGGCTATAAACATGAAGTACTGAGGTCCAAGCATGAGACCGCGACATGCCACATGTTTTGGAATGTCTTCGTTCTTTCAGCCAAGATTTTAAATATTCAACCTTTATTAAAATTAAATGAATATTTAAATGTCCCAGCTTCAAATCCCAGAACTCAAACAATTTTTAGAGAAGCTATCCCTCGATGGAAAGTACGAATTATTCCTCGCTAATGGAATAAAGCAAGTTGAACATTTAAGGGATATCCAAGAATCAGATATCACTTTACTGGAATTAACTGTTTTTGAATGGCGAAGACTTCAGCCAGAGACACAACAAACATTGGAGGACACCACTCGGAGTGTAAAAAAGACAAGTATTCCAGCGTACAAGACATCAACAGCTTCAAAAGTTATTTCTTTGCCTAAAGCATTTAAAAATTTCTTTGAAACGAGAGATGGGCAAGGAAACATTGTAGTTTCTACAGAACCGCTGAAGAGGAAGTTTAAAGACCTTTGGTACGAAAATCCATGTACACCAGCTCAAGAATTCTCCAATTCAATAACTTTGCAAATGGCTGAACAGCGAATGCAACATGAAAAGCGAAAGAGAGATTGTGAACTGTGGTGCCGAAAGCAACGGGCAAAGCGCATTTATTTCTTGTTGGCAACAACAGAACAGCCTCTGGTATTCAATACATGGACTCATTATTTTAAAAACCAAAGCATCATGGGAAAATTGGGTTTGATCAAAGAGCAATATCCGACACTGGCTACTTTCATCGATGATCTTGGAAATGATGCAGTTGACAATGTATCTATACCTGCATTGGCTATGTACGATACACTTTGCCAGGTTGTTGGGAAGCTAGAAGAGGTCTCTACTTTCTGTGATACTGCCATTGGAAAGTGTGAGGAGGAAATTTCTAGTTGTTTAATAAATACAGATGGTCAGCCAAAGAGAGGTATAAACCCTAATAAAATAAAGAATTCTGACCACACTTTATTGTGCTGTCACCCTTAAATCATCATTTAATTTCTAGCTTTCTTGCTATAGTGAATATGAGTGATAGTGGTATTATTGTTGTCCAATATTATTGGAAAACAATAATACCACTATCACTCATATTCACCATAAAATAATATCCATATATCCTAGCTACTGCTAGAGGTGTAGAAATGTGTATAACAGTTTTTACTGCATCATATTCAGTGTGTGTATAAACCAGGCCAGGGACCCTGCCCCCTGGAGACATGTTGCCCCCCCCAGGACATGTTGCCCCCCATCCCCTACCTTGGGTCTTTTTTGCCCCCCCCCCCCTTGGCAGAAAATCCTGGCTACGCCTTTGATCATATTAAGGGGTTGTTGACAAATAAATTTGTACTGCAATCAGTCCTGTTTCTCGTGACGGGGGTGGGGGGTGGTAGTAGTGGGTTTAAATACTGATATATGTGATAGCAAAATATGAAACTGGATGAAAAATTACCTTTCTGTGCATAAATTATCCTACTGGTCTGGTCCTGGAGGGGGAGAGGGAAGAGCAATCATGGGACAAATCCACGATTGCAGGATGGGAATCCATTTGTCAACGACCCCAAGGCCCTGAAAACATTGTATTTTTCATATATGTTAAAGGTTATGAAGAGGAGCTGAAATTTTTCAAGGATACTGCATTACCAAAGTTAGAAAATCTCACTTCCATTGTGAAAAACAAACTTAATAATGCAACTGAAGTTATGGAGAAAGCTCGAGAAAAATATTGTTTTTCACAAGCCTACAAGAAAGCTAAACGGAAGGGAAAGACATCTCGGCGGCATGTTAAACAAAAAAACTGCCACAAGAAAGACACACAGCAAGAGAACAAGAAAGAGCAGTCAGTCACCATTGATGATTCTGACCTTGATGATATTTATATTGACAGTGCCAGTGGCAGTGACCCAGACAGTGAAGAAGTGACAATTTGCAATGCAACAGGCTGATTGCGAAGTGGTTATATTAAAAATCATTATAGATATTTTATAGACACATACTTTATAGGTATAGTTATTTATTAATATTTTTAAGGTTTATATTTATGTTTATATTAAATGTTTTGTTCAGAACATAAAAACTATAATTGTCTTATTATAAAAAAATGTTTCTGCAGTTAATATGTTCCATACATGGGCGTCAATCCAGGGGGATGGGGGGGGGGACACGCCCCCCAGTTTTTGGATTGGGGGGGACGAATATCTAATTATTCCCCCCCCCCCCACTTTTTAACATGCTTAATGAAATTTTGTTTCTTGGTAATCTAAAAACCTAATCCCTGGTATGCTATTTATCCAGACTTGTGGTTGGAACGAAGACATTTAATAAGATAAAGTACAATGTATGACCTTTCTGTAGCCGCTGGTGACATCGCATACACGGCTAAAAACGCACAGGTTGTTCCAAGTTGATATCGACAGGCGTGAACAATATTGTGCGGCCAACTATGAACAAGTTGTCAACCATGTTGTTTCAAGTTGTTACAGTTTGAACAATGTTGTAACAACATGTTGACAACACTGTTCATAGTGGGCCGCACAACCTTGTTTACGCCTGTCGATATCAACTTGCAACAAGTTGTTGATTTTCTCAATTTTTACGCGTGTATGTTATGTAAATACAATTAATAATTGCATTGGCATAATGGCATCTATATATATATACAAATTCTCATGGTTCCCAATCATATCAGTGCTCCCATACGTATTTATATAAACTGCGATTTTTTTTCAGAGTCAGAGAGTGATATTATTGAATGTCATATTTACAGAAATGTGGGACTTTCAGTGTTAAGATTGGGGTTTTTAGGGATACCATTAAGGTAATTCGTGGATATTAATTGAACTATTGAAGTCAAAGTTGTATCGGTTTGTACTTTACATGTATACTTCCGGTATTGTTAACCAAGACGGAACCGAAGCACTCGACAGAAAAAAATACTCAGGAAAACTGGATTTTTCTTTCAATATAGAGTATTGCCATTTGGAAATTTTTTGTGCTCGATATTTTTTTTTGCTGGTGTTAGTGATGCTCGATTTTTTTTTCTTCAGTTCGAGACATGCTCGATATTTTTTTTCGGATTTGCGCCCCCCCCCCCCATGAAAAATCAAATGGTCCGTCCCTTACATCATAGCGCTCGGGAAACGTTAGCTTGCTCTAAGTCTCTCTTTCATTGTCATATAGTATCGATCCACTATAGTGTACATTACATGACGTAGTATCGTGGGGCGGAGCGAGAAAGAGAGACTTGTCAACTTCGGAAAATCTCGGTTCAAAACTGAACCGAAAATACAAGACTTGCTTTAATTGTTTTCCTTCAATTTCTTTCTATATTATTATACTATAAGGCCACATAAAAAAAAATAGTTGGTTAGCGTCCCCGCCCGCCCACAAACAAGGCCCCGCTCAGGATATTTTTTTATTTTTTATTTTAAAAAACCCGACTTTTATTGATCAACAGGCTCTAATATATGTAGTATTTCTGTTGACTGTAGTCAATTGTGTTAATAATTTGCGAAATTGCGTGTGAAAATGACAGTATGAATTATATTTTGAAATATATAAAAATATCTGTACTGCGCAAGAAAATCCAGTTTCGGACCTAACAGTGAGTAAAACCAAGGCATTAAAAATTAGTAAAAATTAAAAAAAAAAGCGCCCGCCCGCCCACTTTTTGGCAAAAGCCAAGGACGCTAACCAACTATTTTTTGCCCTATTATCGTTCCGGCGTCCCTGGATCAATACATATAAACACTGACAGAAAACAATTAAAGCAAGTCTTGCATTTTTGGTTCAGTTTTGAACCGAGATTTTCCGAAGTTGACAAGTCTCTCTTTCTCGCTCCGCCTCTCCGTGCTACGTCATGTAATGCACCCTACAGTGGATCGATACTATATGACAATGAAAGAGAGACTTGGAGCAAGTCTAGGGAAACGTTGGATATCGATTCTAAAGGTCAAATTTATACATCTGCATGAGTACTCCTTATTCGCCAATTTTAGCGTGTGGCATGCGCGTGCGAGTAAAAACTCGAAATAAACATTTCTACTGGCTGTATTCAAATGAAATTTTGGATACAAAAGCACTTGAATACAAGGAATATTTCACTCATATTGATTTGTGGCGAACTCTGAAGAATTCACAAATTATTTAAGGCTAAGCAATCGTGGAAACGAAATTCAAAATGTTTGGCCACGCGGTGATTAAATATATGATTGTTTCGGTTTGTGTATAAATGTTTAGACGGCATTCGACCCTCCTTGAAAAGGTTATTTTATTCGGATTTCAATGGTATTCTTTGTTTTAAAGGGAGGGGGGGGGGGGTGAATACGCGCTAAGATATTTACGTTATAAATCATTGAGTCGTAAAATCGTGAAAATGTCGCTTGTCGATAAATTAAAATATATATTTCAGAAAATGTGAACAAGAATACAAATTAGATACATATTTTCAACCTTTAGTTCGCGATAACTTTGTTTCCTCTGATTATTATTTTTTGAAAATTGTAGCATTAGAATCGTCTTGTAAATTTCTAATCGCACAAAAATTTTAAAGCGTTGCGTTAAAAATATGAACAGAACCGGCACTATTTCGGTTGTAGAGTGCAAAAACGCGTGAGTTAGCTAAATAAGCTTGAACACAATATAGTACAATAATAATATCAACCTTATATTTCCGGTGTATGCATTCTATAGAAATAGGTACGCAGTGCGTACATGTTGCATGCTTTAGGAACGTTATTTCAGTGCAAAATATCGTGAGATCAACATTTTGCGATCACTTTCTTTTGAAGTGCGTTCAGTAAATCTGATCCGTTGCGTTTGATTGCTTGTATTTCAAAAGAAGGTGATCGCCAAATGTCGACCGCGCGACATTTTGCAGTGAATGGAAATCCGCCTTTATGGTGCGCAAGCGCTTGTAAATCTTGGTACAACCGGCCTGAAACTTAACATGTTGATTCAATAAGTGTAACATCAATATATTTATCGGAAATAGCTATTATGTCAAAATAACAAAACTTAAGATTCTCACACGAATGGGCAATGTTTTTTGATGAGCTATTGTTCATCTGTAGTTGCAATGGACGGTAATAACAAGGTCAGCTGACCAAGGTCAGTATTACTGATTGACTATTTGTAATAAAACATATAACAATGTTATACCCTTCTATACTACGATATCAATCTTTCTCTGTTAGAATTTATACTTGCAATATTTTTTACAAGTTTAAGATAATCAATCTCTGATATTTTTGTTATTGTCGTGTTTTGACTAGAATGTGATCCCCCTTTAGAAAGGTTATTAGTTTATAAGGATTTTAATAGTGTTTGTGTTATTTTCGAGGGGTATACGGCTATTTCAATTATGGTTGTCCCCGAGCAAAGCGGAAAAGTCGAATATGAGCGCGAAAGGCTGCTGGGAATCGCTTATAATAAATTCATTTATTTATTAGCGATTCCCAGCAGTCTTTCGCGCTCGTATTCGACTTTTCCTCGGGGGACAACCTTAATTGAAATAGCTGCATTCTTGCTAAGAAAATTGCATTTCGATAAATATAAAAAATTGTTCTAATTTGAACGACCGGAGAACCCTGGGGAAGATGAAAAAATCTTACATGATGTATATAATTCGAATATTAAGACAGTCCGGTAAAAGTTTTAACTAAGTGCTATGCGTCTCCAAATTGATTCCTTCAGGCGTCAGCGCTGTATGGAAAAAATAATTATTTATTAGTCTTTAGAGCGAAGGGAAGCAGTGAGTGTAGTCTTGATGATATTGAAATAAAATAAAATCGAAATGTCTATCTTGTTTTAACTCGCATTCTGGGTTTCAAGATATCTTCGGATTGCATTTTGTTTAATTTGTGGTTTTTGGAAATTTTAATTTGAAATTGTACTTCCCCGGAGGGCAAGGACGAACCCAGACATGCCAACTCCCACGATTTGTCGTTTTGTTTGTTGTTTGTTGTTCTTTCATAATACCATAAAAATTCGTTTTAAAATATTTTAGGATAGCATCTATATAGCATGAATGTGCGCCTTTTTCTGGCAAAAGTGCGGCCCTTTTAGCCAGAAAAATGTGTTCTCGGAATTTAGCGGTATTTTTATATTTTTCAAATTCGTGGACTGTCTCCGCGACCTATGTTTGCGCAGTTAAATTATGGAAACAATAACAATTCATAATTATATCGAATTAACATACAGTATTTATAATAAAGTTTCAAAACTAATTTCTTAACGCAGTCGTGCAGGCATTCTGTAGCAGATGCAAATGCACTCGTCGCCTTCTGTATTTTCAACTTTGTGGGCGCAGTACAGGTGCAAACAGTGGATGCACTAGATTTACGACAAATATATTGCTTTTATACAGCAATTTGCATCAAAGCACAAACCGCAAACATTTTCGCGCGTCTTTTACGTTTGAAACGGGGCGTTTACCGTTGAAAACTGAAATGTATTCACCGCTCATGTGACGTGTCACAGTGAAAAGCCTTAAGCTATTTTTGGCGCAACTGTCATGTTTTGATGTGCCTCCGTGCACGTTTCAATATTTCCAAGCCCATAATAATACGTTCTAGTCACAAAAAGTATGAATATAAACAAGTTTGGTCGCTCTTACAATATCATGAGCTTGGAAATACTGAAACTTACACGAAAGCACATCAAAACATGAAAAATACCTGAATTAGGCTTTGCACTGTAACACGTCACACGAGCAGTGAAATATTTCCGTTTCCAACGGTAAACGCCCCGTTTCAAACGTAAACAAACGCGCGAAAATGTTTGCGGTTTGTGCTTGGATGCAAATTGCTGTAAAATTTTAAATCTCTGTTGATTGACGGTTTAGTGTAAATAAAACACAATGAAATTCTGCCGTCAGTTTTTCGCTCCAGAGCAGTGTAAACTAGTGTAAACCATGATAGTATCATTAGTATGTAAGACAATTGTTCATGACAATTCCTGCGTTTCAACTTCTTTTCAAAATACTAGCGAAACAATTCCTGT